GACAAATTTTTTTTTGCAAACATTTTTACTAAAAAACTGGATTTTGTGATAAAAAATTCAATTTTCGCAAATTTGCAATTTTTTTTTGCAGATTCTAAAAGTAGAGCACAAGAGCTTTCTAATGATGTATCATTTGTCATATTTGGACATAAAACATGGGATTTAGAGGGGGGGGTCAAATTGACCCCCCCAGCGTATCTTGGTTTTCAAGTACCCCAGCAGGGATAGGGTTAATACAAAGATCTCACGATCACTGTACAATTTACGCTGTTAATACAAAGATCTCACAATCCCTGTACAATTTACAATGTTAATATAAAAATCTCACAATCCCTGTACAATTTACAATGTTAATATTTAAAAATTCTAAAAATGTAAAACAGTATGTAATCAAATTGTCAAATTTATAAGAAACGGATATATTTTATAGATTAAAAAAACTATTCATTTGTTGACCAGCTAAATAAAAAATAGAAGGTATTTTGTCGAAATTATTTTATTTTTTCCTAATTAAAGTATTTATAACGATATTATTTAACGCACAAATTTTAATTTCTAAATAGTTTCAAAAGAATGAGAATCTGTAACTTTATAAGTGTGTTTCTTGTAACCCTGTAGATTGACTACTCGTTGAACATCAGTGTACCTGCAAAAAAATGTAATCAAATTTTTTTTTAAGTTGCCACGGCTTGATTTTGGACTCTTTTTTCCTAGAGAATTATCATTGGCTTGTAGAAGTTTCAAGTTTCTTTTTATTGATTCACGATGGCTTACCAGTGAAAAAGCATTAATTTTTATATAATTTCATTTTTCTCTTTAACCTCGTTACCTTCCATGTAAAGATGGCAATGTTTGATTCACAATAGTACCCTAATTAAAGTGTTGTCTGATCAACTATGAACCAGATATCAATCTGTGTATTTACAAATTACAATGGGAGGTTCTCTGAAAAAGTAACTTGCGCATTTCTACTGCGAAAAACATATTAGAATTATTAGAAATAAACACAATCAAATATCGAGAAACGACAATATATATATCTTCCACATTATTGATCAGATAAACTTTTAAGAGTACCGTTGTGAATCGAGCATTGTCATCTCTGCATGGATAGTCACTTAAAATTACACTTACAGCCCCTTTAGCATTTTTATCGTTAACAAAATATAGTTTTTCGAATACAAAATTTCAAAATAAAAAAAAACGTAAAAACGAAGTAAAATATTTCTTACTGGACCATTTTCTGTACAACAGGTGGAACTGGTTTGAAGCCTGCTGTACTGCTCAGATATTCAAGATACGGCCATAAATCATCTCCAAGCTGAATAACAGTAATATTATCAATTTACAACGGAATGATTGTTGCTTCTTTCTTTCTTCAAATCATATATGCAGAAAGAAAGGAATTGAGTCTGTGTCACAAACTCAAATTTTCTAATTCCTACATCTTTGCAACCTGATAGTGTATACTTTTTATATTTCGAATATAAAATATCAAAAATTTACACCATCGTGTTGTAAAGATAAAGGGATTAGAAAATCAGAGATTTTAGCTAAAAACTCAATTTCTTTTTGGTCCAAATTTTGTACGTGCAAAAAATGAAGAAAATGGGAAAATCTGCATATCTTTTTATCAAATTTTCGCAAATTATGGAAAACTATAAATGATATGAGAAAAGCTGATTACTTTATGAAAATCCTGATCCCTCATTCCCTCAGCTATCCTTCTCTTCCTTTCCAGTGCAGTATCAGAATACATTTCCTTCTAAACAAATAAAAAAGTTAAATTTTTTTCTGGCAATAAATGGATCCTTTTTTAACAGAAAAAGACTTTAATGTGAAAATATCTTTCCATGATTAAATGGAAATTGTCTTTAAAATTAATTGAAAAAAATCTTTTTAAGATTAAATGAAACATTGCTCAGATATTGAAAGTCAAGTATTTTTAACATTTAATGGAACGTGTTTTTCTAGATAAAGGACCGTGTTTTCTAGATAAAGGACCTTGTTTTCTAGATAAAGGACCGTGTTTTCTAGATAAAGGACCTTGTTTTCTAGATAAAGGACCGTGTTTCCTAGATAAAGGACCTTGTTTTCTAGATAAAGGACCGTGTTTTCTAGATAAAGGACCGTGTTTTCTAGAAAAAGAACCGTGTTTTTAAAATAAATTATACACGAAGAGAGTTTCAAAAATTAAATTACACGAAGAGAGATTTCAAAATTGAATATTTACATAATTTTGCAAAATCTAATTTTGAAAACGTGCCTTAGATGGTAGTTGAAGACCTCGAACTAAATGTTCTAAAAAGAATCTGATCTGAAAATAGAATAAATTAAAATTGAAAATTAAAATTTTCAAGATTCTAAATTCTAAATTTAAAAAATTCTAAGTTTTTTATTTTCTATAATACTTGAATAGTTAAAAATTTAAAATTTATAATACCTGACAGTCCACCGTAGGGAATGTGGTAAAATGCACTAACATTCCTAAAAGTATGGTTTTGATAAAAACCTGAAACGCAATTAATTTTCTTTATTCTTACCTATCAATGCTAAACTGTTATGTTCAATGTTTATACAGTGCTTGTACAGTGGACTGATCTGAAATCATTTTTAAAATCAAAATAAAATATATTTATTCTATAAATCACCAAACCTGACGATTTTTGACTGTAACCCCGCATTCTGGAGCAAGATAAGGAAACTTATGTTCATAACCTGTAAATAAACAAATAAAGGTGAACCCTTCTCTTGTAGATTCGTATGTCCGATTCACAACAGGATCCTTTAAACCTTTGACTGATCAAGACTGACTGAGATATCCATATTTATCTACAGAAACGATTGTAAATGTCGAATATTTTGTTTGCTAGCTGTCAGCTAAGGTTGAGTTCACATTGTACGCTAGCGTACACTTCAGTTGTAGGGCAAATTAAACTCCACAAAGTTCTCTGCCTCGATGATAAGTCAAAGGTTTTAAAGGTAAATTGGACACTCCCCTCTTTGCATAGAGGGTAACTTGAAATTACGCGAACACTCCCTTTAAGTTCTTCAACTTTTTAAAAAGTCCTGATATTCCTACACACAGAATTATAAGAAAGGAGAGGGAAAATATGCTTGAAGAATTCAGCGGTATTCACTGTACAGTGTACAGTGTACACGGATGTGTATACAGTGCTCCATAAATTTGCAGGAAAGGGGAAAACCACCGATACTGATTCTGTCTAATTGGTTGGAAACCGTGTAGGTTTACCCACAAAGAATGAGATTATAAAGACAGCCTTAAACTCTTGAAATATGACGATTTGAATTAAATCTTCTGTCTTAATTAAAGTTTTTATGGCATTTTTAATGATTGAGCAAAGAAAGAAACAAGTTTACAATTGAGGGAAACAGAAATATAAGGAAACATATAATACAGTTTAAGCCAGAACTTCGGAGGCACCGAAATAACTTGTCATTGTCATTTCTTAACCTACTGATAATGAAATGCTTAAAGGGACTGTAAAGGAAAAATGAAAGGGAATATAGGCTGAAAGCTAATCACTCTAGCTCTTGATCGCGACCCATGAAAGTTTTATCTGATGTTCCTGTCTCGAGAAATTGATATAAAACTGTGTTAAAATTATACGAAAGTTCATATATGTAAAATTTAGAAAATCTTAAACTTAAATCACGTGACCAGAACTATCACCAACGGCAGAGCAGTATACTGGTCACGTGTCTCCGCCTGTATCACGTGACCACTTTACTGCACGGCCATTGGTGGAATTTCTGGTCAAGTAATACGGACGTATAAATAATATTATGAATTAAATCTATAAAAAATAGAAACAACAAATATAAAATTAGAATTGGAGTAAACCTAAGTAATAATTAGCTTTCTCTGGGACATCATCGTTTTCAGATTGGTTGATTATTTGCTGAATTTGATCTATTTAAACCCACTACTTTTATACAAAATTGTATATAAATATTAATTTTCGTATAAATTTGACACATCAGATATAACTTTCATGGGCCGCGATAGCTAAAGTGATTAGCTTTCAGCCTATACCCTCTTTCATTTTTCCTTTACAGTCCCTTTAAGATATTTATTTTTAAATTGAATACTGAGATTGAGAAATTGCAAAGATGACATTTCAGAAATTCTTTCGATTACACCGAAGTTCTGATTTAAACTATAAATTCTGAAGTCTCATCCTTGTGGGTAATCTCGAATAAATCATGTCAAATTAACCTGTTGCTAGCAGGAGAACAGTACACTGTACCGTACTGCCATCTACCAGGGTAAATGTGTCTGCGCCTGTACACCTTGAAATCCCACTACCAAGACAGAATATTATACAATATGTAGTAATGCAGTGAGACTACAGACGAGGATTAAAAGTCGTCTTTTTCCTCTACAGTATTCATCATAGCGCTATGATCATGTGGGGAATTAAAGTAGTCGTTATTAAAGGGACTGTAAGCGTAATTTCAAGTGACCCTTCATGAAAAGATGGCAATATAACCGATTCGCAACTGTATTCTTAAAAACTTTGACTGATCAAGTGTGAATTATACATCAATTGCGAAAACTGATAATTTTCAATTGAGACATCTCTACTGCAGGAAAACTTATCAGAATTAAACACATATAAAAACAACAACATCTTTCACATATTGATCAGATAAAGGTTTCAAGGGGACCGTTGTAAATCGTCCATTGCCATCTTTGTGTGCAGGGTTACTTGAAATTTCGTGGACGTTCCTTTTTGTTTTTCGTAGTGCTTTGTCTTTTGTAATTATTTGCTTAATATTTTTACAGATAGTTCAGTAATAACAATTAAATACAAAATCTTCAGTTTGAATTTGTTAAATTATTTATGACTGTAAATCAATGTTAATAATTTTAGCAAAATCTAAAATTGAGATTTAGTGTTCGTGAAAACATGACAGGGTACGAAATATTTATTGATTCTTTTTAGAACTTTCTGAAAAGAAGACCCAACATTTTAAAACAACTCTAAAGAATTGTTCCCAAAGATAAAATTATCTTTATAATTTTTGTCAAAAAAAACATTACTTGCGTTTTTAAACTAATTGTATAATTATTTTATTTGTTTATAATATTTTCCTGATTTGAATCATGTTGTCGGGTAGAGCTGATGTTAGTTTAGGATTGTTGTGGGACAGATAAATCTAATTAAAATACATGGTGTCCCACAAAACATGGCAGTTGGTAAATAGTTTAGAATGTTTTCTTCCATTATTTGTTAATTTGCTTAATACCAAAGACAATAATAAAAATATTAAATAGGAGTCATATTATTGTAAAATTAACTTCAAAGTAAAATATATCTGAGGAGCAACAGATTTTTGAAACGAAATAAACCGCAAACAACCTTTAATATCTAATACAGTGTATGGAAGACGCATATCAAAACTATTTACCAACTGTCATGTTTCGTGAGACCCCCCCCTTTGCGTTAGGGCGTTTAGGGCGCTTCGTGGCCATCCTCTATTTCAATTGAGAGAACGTTTTCTCTTTGTATACATTGCAAAACAAAAACAAAACAAAAATTCGTGGATTTTCTAAATTTTTAAAAATTGAATTTTGTTAGAGGCAAATATTTGAAAATTCGATTTCCTGGGGTCATGTGAGGTCCCACAAAAAATTTGGGCCCGATCGGTTCAGCCGTTTTGACGCCTATTGTATACACACGGACAGACAAGCGAAGTATATATGTAAATATGAATTCTCTTTATGAAAAAAGTGTATCTTTTATACAGTGAGAAATAGAAAAGTGTGGAAAAGGAAGACGACATGAAAGTTATAATTAAGTGTATTTGATGTTGTTACTTAGCAAATAGTTTTACCAGTAGCTTGCACATCAACATTTTTAGTAAAATGGAACTTATGTTCATTGGACGATTGAAAGTCATAAATTGAGTTCTAAAGTCGTTTTCCTATTCCAGAGTTTTCTGGTTCTCACTGAACGCATGTCCGGCCACGTATGACGGTGTTCCTATAATTTTATTCCTTGCTAATATTAGAGTTTATACAAGTTTAAAGAGGTTCTATCAAAGTTTACAATGATTATATCAAAGTTTGAAGTGTTTAAGGTTTCAATAAATATAATATAAATATAAATAAACCATGTGCTACCTTTTCTGCTTGAGGAACCAATTCAAGCCCTATATCAGCTCCGCTGTACGAAGCTCCCAGAATTACAACACTGTCACCCCTAAAATTCCGATTTAGATGTTTTATGATTTATGAATGCTTATATTTCTAATAATGACCGGGTTATATAAAAGAACATCTAACTGTTAAAGGGACAGTAAAGGAAAAATGAAAGGGGGTATAGGCTGAAAGCTAATCACTTTAGCTCTTGATCGCGACCCGTGAAAGTTTTATCTGATGTTCCTATCTCGAGAAATTGATATAAAACTGTGTTAAAATTATACGAAAATTCATATATGTAAAATTTTGAAAATCTGAAACTTAAATCACGTGACCAGAACTATCACCAATGGCAGAGCAGTATACTGGTCACGTGTCTCCGCCTTTATCACGTGACCACTTTACTGCACTGCCATTGGTGGAATTTCTAGTCAAGTAATACGGACGTAAAAATAATATTATGAATGAAATCTATTGAAAATAGAAACAACAAATATAAAAGTAAACCTAAATTACAATTAGCTTTCTCTGGGATATCATCGTTTTCAGATTGGTTGCTTATTTGCTGAATATGATCTGTTTAAACTCACTACTTTTATACAAAATTGTATATATATTAATTTTCGTATAGATTTGACACAGTTTTATATCAATTTCTCGAGACAGGAACATCAGATATGACTTTCATGGGTCGAGATCAAGAGCTAAAGTGATTAGCTTTCAGCCTATACCCCCTTTCATTTTTCCTTTACTGTCCCTTTAACATAATTTATTTACACATTTTTGTGAACATCTTAATCTGATCAAAAAAGTGGAGGACAGCGTCGTTTTTAAGGCATGCAATTTGTTAAAGTCATTTCTGCATTTTTTCTTAAAAAGGAAGTGTTCGCGAAAAATGAAAGGGGGTATTGTCTAACGGTGAAAAATAAGCACTTGAGAGAATTATAAACTTGATGATGGCATATCACAGTGTGGAATACTTAAAAGAAAAAAATTCGTGACTTTTTGATGCACAATAACTAAGTAAGATCATAAAGATCTTTAATTTGTTTCTCAATCTTCATATTTTGTGGGAAACCCTGTATTTTCCCAAGTTGTTAAAACTTATTATTTTTTATATATTATTTATATTATTTGATGGAATAAAAGTTTAAAATAATTTACCTGAAAGGATCTGGATATCTATAATCGTTGCTGTGCATGACCCGTCCTGTAAACTGTTCAAGGCCTGCATAAAAATATTTTTGATTTAAAGAGACTGTTCGCGTATCTGTATTAAAACCTGCAGTACCTGGTATTTGAGGATAGTGAGGGGTGGTATAAGCGCCAACACAAATCATAACACCGTCAAAGTATTTCTAAACAAAATAAATGAATACTCGCCACATACAATCATTTTATAATCCCTATATTTTGGCAGCCTGTGATCCAAATTTAATGAATTTGAGCTAGGTCTAGAGACTATTCAACTACGTATCAGGATTTGATGATTCATGTCTTATCCTATAGATGTAAACTCCACGGTGCTTGTTAATTCAGCAACCTAGCTCAAATTCATTAAATTTGATTCCTGATGATAAGAATTCGTTGAAACATGAAAGGCTTACAACATCAGGTTGCAAAAATATAGGAATCTTGAAAATGAGGTAATTTAAGGAATCAAAATGCAGGGTTACACAAAAATGTTGAGACATATCTTATTATTGTAAAATGCTAGGTTTATGCTTCCCTGCAGCTGATATACACTTAATTATTTGCTTCAATAGGTATGGGCATCGTTTTCAAAAGCGAACGAAAAAACGATCGTTTTTAGTTTCGTTTTGGATTTTTCGAAACTAAATAGCATTCGTTTTTAGAAAAAAAACGAATTGTTAAAACTAGTTTTAAGCTTTTGAAAACGAAAAAAGAAATGACAAAATTAAAGTTTTAAAGCAAAAACGATCGTTTCTGTTAAAATTTCATTTGAACAAATTTTCTCGTTTGAAGCGAGGTTTTGAGTGATTATTACTAAGATGGGGGCGGGGGATTTAAATTTTGATTTTTCATTATTTTCATTATTCCAAAACTATCGTTTTCAAAACGAGCATTTCATTAAAAAAACGATCGATTTTAATCCAAAACGTTAGTTTAAATCCAAAACGATTGTTTTCCGGAACGATCGTTTCGTTTTTTCTTCTTAAAAACTATCATAACTTCATGCCTTTCAAAAACGATAGTTTTCAAAAACGATATTTAGGGGGGGGGGGGTAATATCGGAGTACATTGGTTTTCAGTGTAAACTTACAAAGTGGGATGTTTTAGTCTCCAGGCAAAGGTATTCTATTTTCCATTTTTTATTTGAATTCAGTTTATTCTTCATATTCTTCTCTGCCTCCTTTCCATTAGTCTTTGCTCCATTTTTAGTCTGAACTCCATTTTCTCCTCCATTTCTGGGATGGTTTTCGGCAGTTGAAATTCCATTTCCGTTTTCATGGGCCTTAATTAAATTTCCGTTTTTATGAGTCTCAATTTCATTTCCATTTTTATGAGCCTCAATAACATTTCCGTTTTCATGAGCCTCAATACCATTTCCGTTTTCATGAGCCTCAACTCCATCTCCGTTTTTTTGAGCCTCACTACAATTTCCGTTTTCATGAACCTCCATACCATTTCCGTTTTCGGAGATCTCTTCTTTATCTGCAGGGTCTGGATAAATTGGTTTGATGCTTACCACCTGACCAACACTTTCTTTAATGGGAAGTTATTTTGATTATTAGCTGGAAAAGTTTGTCTCAAGGATAATCCCGATCGTTTTATCTCGATATCTATAGTGTAATCTTTTAATTTTCGGATCTACAGGAAACTATGCCTTTCAATGTCTTTATTTTAGTTATTTCTCCCCTAACCAATTTGGAACTATTTAGTATAACTTGAATGGTAAAATAGTTTATAAATATCTCATTTAAAAAGAATAACCGCAAAATGGCAAAACCTAACGGAAACCAAATTTAATAAATAAAAAGAATTAGTTGAACTGCGTGCAAAAAGTTGAACTAAATTGTTGTGGTTCAATTTTGATTCGTTATTCGAAAGATATGGTCCAGGAGCCATTCTAAAATGTACCCTCAAATCATTTAAGTAAAATTTTTTTGTTTTGGTAAGGTTAAAAACTTTTTTTTCAGGAACATTTCCTTCAAGTTTAGTTAAGAATCGTGATAAACAACTCTAAAGTTATTTTTGTTCTGAAAGAAAGTAATTCCTTTGTGTTGAAATGTATGTATTTCTTTATCTCAAACTTGTCAACAAACTCGTTCAAATAATCCAAAACCTGAAATTCAATTGATGAAAGAAAATCAACAAGATATTTGATCATATTTAAGCATTATTAAATAAAGGCAATATCATTTTTAATTATGGACGCATCTTTAAAATAAAAGTAAAATCAAAAATAGAAATTAAATGTTTTACTTGGAAAATTATTAAAAAACTTAAAAAGATCAGAAAGGTTTTGGTGGTTTTATTATTCTAGGCATTAAAAGAAACCAATATTTTTTTTTCTGATTTTTTCTGATTATTTTTTAAAGAATTTGTTTGACTATACCTCTGTGTGATGTACAAAGGATTCATTTAAAGATTCCTTGTACGGTACGTCGGGAAACATCATCACATCCTTCAATTAGTTCAGATTTGCTTAAAAAATTGTATGCTGAAAAATTTAAAAACCAGAAAAAGGAGAATTTTCGTCTTTTATTCTTCTTGTAAATACGAAATGTACCAATGAACTTGAACAATGATGTATTTATGTGCCCTGAGGCTAAATTTAAAGAATTTAAACCGCGTCGCTGAACCGCCAAAAACTGGTTCCAATTGAGTGCCGGCTCAAATCTCGAAACACTGAATACAATTTCAAGTGGAACCAACCATGTTTGAGCCGCTGCTCAAATTTTTTGAATTCGGCCTTTGAAGTCAGAGCTGTTGAGTTGTAAATCTCCGGATCAAGCATTGATCTGAGATCTCCATCTTTTGCAAACATACGGATTAATTTAATTCCTCTTAAATATTCCGTCGTGGTTAGCCCTTGCAGGAAAAATAAAAAATAAAAAATCAGACATTGATTCTTAAATTGCCCACACTGGATATCGATATCAAGCGTTCAACGATAGTCCACTCAAAAGTTCCGATTTCTGAAATCAAAACTTTTGAGTGAAAGAGTGCTAATTTATAACAACACTTCATCTCATCTCGATCCTCTGTGACAACTTTTGAATACAGGATCGAAAGTGCTTGATATCTTAATTTTAGTTTAGAGGAATTAAATTAATCCGCAGGTTTGGATTTGGAAAACTGTAACTGATGTAAAAGGGCAACATTGAAAGTTTCCGGCCATACAACTTTTTAAAAAGTTAAAAATAATTTTGAATATTTAAAAACTAATGAAAACAAAACAATCCTTGGGTAGGTTGGTTCTCAGGTCTCGGTACATACTGGACTGTATCTTCTCTCCTCTATATAAAACAATATAATTGGACAAAATGGATGTTATTATAGTTCACACAAGTGCAGATTTACAAAATAAAAATAACCAAAATTTGTTTATTCTAAATCTTTGCGACCCGATATTTCAAAACATTAAACAAAAAATTTACGTAGAGTGTTTGAGAATTTGACAACAATTATGTTCCTTTATTTAATATGTATAAAGCCCTGCAATTGCACTTGCCTCTTTTGTTTGCATTTATTTTCTGTAAAATAAACACTTTACCCAATTGTTTAATGCGATCACGGTAACTTTATATTTAAGAGTAACTCGTAAAAATACAAAAACTTTACCAAAAATTACAATTTTTTAGAGAAAACAAATCTTAATCACAGATTATAAACCCAGATTCCTGATTGTTAATTTTGCTCAATCCCTGTATTGGGATTATAAACCCAGACTCTCTGGTCCCTACCATTGATCAATCCCTGTATTAGGATTATAAACTCAGACTCCTGATCCCTGAATTTGACCAATCCCTGTATTGGGATTATAAACCTAGACTCCTGGTCCCTGACTTTGATCAATCCCTGTATTGGGATCATAAACTCAGACTCCTGACCCCTACCTTTGATCAATCCCTGTATTGGGATTATAAACCCAGACTCCTGGTCCCTAACTTTGCTCAATCCCTGTATTGGGATTATAAACTCATATTCCTGATACCTACCTTTGATCAATCCCTGTATTGGGATTATAAACCCAGACTCCTGGTCCCTACCTTTGATCAATCCCTGTATTGGGATTATAAAACCAGACTCCTGATCCCTACCTTTGATCAATCCCTGTATTGGGATTATAAACCCAGACTCCTGATCCCTACCTTTGATCAATCCCTGTATTGGGATTATAAACCCAGACTCCTGATCCCTACCTTTGATCAATCCCTGTATTGGGATTATAAAGTCATACTCCTGATACCTACTTTTGATCAATCCATGTATTGGGATTATAAACCCAGCCTCCTGATCCCTCCCTTTGATCAATCCCTGTATTAGGATTATAAACCCAGACTCTTGATCTCTACCTTTGACCAATCCCTGTATTAGGATTATAAACCCAGACTTCTGGTCCATACCTTTGATCAATCCCGGTATTGGGATTATAAACCCAGACTCCTGATCCCTACCTTTGATCAATCCCTGTATTGGGATTATAAACCCAGACTCCTCCAAAACTGGAATTCTTCTCAAATACGGTAGGAATACAACTAAAAATAGATTAAAGATAAAACATTTTATATTAAATATCGACACATATAAAAAATAAGGTAATTCATAGGGCTTAAACCTAGGGTTTCCTACTAAAACTGACAATGAAGAGCCTAGATCTTTCTTTATAAATTTAATTTTTGCTTGTTTGTCTGTCTGTATCCAATAAACGTCAAAACAGCTCAACTGATGAGGCCAAAGATGAAGAAAACAAATTTTGGCCGAAAAAAATGTTGACATTTATTTATTATTTTTAAAATGAACCAATTTAAACAGAAAAATCCCCAAAAAATTGTCATTGGTTAAATAATAAATGTAAATAATCAAAAGTATCTTTTATATAAATAAAGTTGGATTCTGTGTTTGTTTGATTGTCCGATCATAACTTAGGAACCCCCAGACAGATTTGCCTTAAATTCTGATAAGGGACCTCGGGAGAACCACGGGACTGTTTTTAGTTTGGATTTAAGATTCTAAGTTGAGTGGGTCGACTTTTAATAGGGAAAAGTTAGTTTCCCGGTAAAAATCGTCTAAGTGCGGGTAAAGGGGGGAAGGTAAATTTGACCCCCCCCTCTAAATACCATGTTTGATGTCCAAATATGACAAATGATACATCATTGGAAAGCTCTTGTGCTCTACTTTTAGAATCTGCAAAAAAATTTGCAAATTTGCAAAAATTGAATTTTTTATCGCAAAATCCAGTTATATAGTAAAAATGTTTGCAAACAAAATTTGTCTAAAAAATGAAAAATTATACATTTTTAAAAAAGCCCTTGACCATGCCATTTCAAATATGCAAAAGTTTTTGCAAAATTTTAAATAACCTGATTTTTAATCAAGAAAAACTAAAAATTTGCAGATTTCCTTTGACAGGTTGTTTGCAAAAAATTAGCAATTTTTTTTCGCAAAACTTGTGCAATTCGTTTCCTTATGTCAAAGGCTTTCCAAAAAGCTAAATTTTATCAAAATCTGACAAGTGGAAGTGGGTCAAAACAAAGATTTAATTTGCTACAGGAAAAAACAGTCATTCAAGCAGTGTGCCCATGAGGACTCAGGCAGTTAGTATTAAAGCCCGGTTTTAGGCCTAAAGGGAGGGCTTTGGGTATGTAGGAAAAGNGGGGGGGTCAAATTGCCCCCCCCCCCCTAGCAGGAATAGGGTTAATATTTACGAGAAAGGACGTACGGGTAAACGGTGGGACCAAGGATATAATGTTAGGAAAGTTATTTCAGAGGTGTACGCATCTTTTGTACTGCTGTTTACTGTCTCTGGGCGGTAATGTAAACACAAGACGGATGTCGAAGCCTGACATGGGATCCATCTTTCACAATGAAAAAAAATCAATGAAATATTCTGGTCATAGGAAACAACTATGTGAATTATCCAAATTATCAAAATTTAATGCTTTTATCCTCCTCGGATACTAAACGAACACTGATGCATCTATTCTTGTTTACAAATTTCGCCCAGAGAGAACTGGTTTTAATATGAACGCAGAGTATAAGCAACTGCAGTAAACTTTCCTTGCATTATAACCTTGTGTTTAGCAGGGTCGGACTAACTATGACTGTGGGTAATGCTGCAGGTTCCCAAGATATTCACTTATAGAATAGTATTTTTTGTGACTTACTTGTAGGTATGTGCAACATGACGAGCTGCATTTAGCCCTGCAGCTCCTGCTCCAACAATTGCAATCTCCATTTTTCTATTTTTTCTTCAATTAAATCTCATTTTAAATTTAATAATAAAGACCACATTCTTCTACTTAATACAGTGACCGAATTTAAGGAATTGGAGAAAGGTCGCTGAACCCCTTACCTACTTCTCATATCCTGAATCTTCGATTCAAAGTTCGAGATCTTAAATAACTCTAGTTTAAGGTAAGCTGATGTAGAGCAATTTTCCGACAATTCAAACGAGTTCATTGAAACAAAGCTCGGCACTAAGGATGGTTCAGAATTTTAAAACTTCAAGTTGAACCAGCTACGTATATTGTTTAACTTCAAGTTGAACCAGCTACGTATATAGTTTAACGACTTCTCGCAAGTAAAAACATTTGTGGCATGTGTTTAAAACCTTTTTCATAATACCCCAAATTTTCAGAATATGTATGCCGATTCCATTAGCGCCTGATCCAATCAGGGTTCAGTCATTTGTTTGGTGTATATTCTGAACCAATAGAGATCGTATTGCTGTAACATCCATCTATTTATCAATCTCATCATCCAATCATAGATGAATACTTAAATCGGCGCTAAACAGTAAATGGTAATATTTACTTCTACTAAAACTGAAATGAAAGATATCCTCCTGGGTCTTATTGCTCGTAAATGCTTCAGTCCGGTGTGTTTCTAAAAAAATCCGGCTTTTAAGATGCAAAATAGTTTCTGTATATAGCCAATGTATCCTTACATTACTGTGTATTTAGTTTTAGTTGTTTATAGATTTTAAATCAAGTTAATTTAATTGCAAACAAGTTAAAAATGTAGTTTATGCAGCCAATGTAGCTGGTTTACCTGGTTTCGTAGTTTTAGTTGTTTATAAATTTTGAATTGAATCAAGTTAATTTAATTGCAATCAAGTTAAAATGTAGTTTCTGCACCCAATGTATTCCTACATTCCCTGGTTTTAATTAGTTTTAGTTATTTATAAATTTCTAATCAAGTTAATTTTATTGCAATCAGGTTAAAATGTAGTTTCTGCAGCCAATGTATCCCTACATATATTACCTGGTTTCTTAGATTTAATCGTTAATAGTACGTTTTTAGAAATAGTGCAAATGTTTTCTGGTTTTCACTGTATGGGATATTACACAGACATATTATAAAATACGTTATGAAGTTTATTAGATATAAAGAATGCAAGGGCATATCTTAAAGTACGTTTGTAGATTTATCAAATTCAAAGTCTAGGTGTGAACTGATTTAAACAACATGTTTTAAATAAACGTGAGTAATGTCAAATCTTTTCAGCAGACTTTTTATAGGGGTCCCACGTACGAAACAGACAGTTGAGAGGGGGCTTGCAGGTCGTCTTTGATCGTTAAAAACAATTTGCGGCATTCATCTGTTAACCTAATTTGAGAAGTAAAACCCTTGAATTTCCCAAATACCAAGACATTTGGGGAATTTCCCAAATGCCTAGGTTTCTAGAAAGCTCACCAAATATCCAGTCATTTGAGAAATTTCCAAAATCTTAAAAAATACCACCCTCAAATACCTATAGGAATTAGGGAAATTTCCCAAATGCATAGACTTTGGGGAAATTCCCCAAATACCTGGGTATCTGGGAATCTTAAAAATATACCACCCTCAAATACCTACAGGAATTTGGGAAATTTCCTAAATGCCTGGGTATCTGGGTAATTTCCCAAATACCTACAGATATTTGAGGGTGGTATATTTTTAAGATTTAGGAAGTTTCTGAAATGACTGAAAATTTGGGGAGCTTTCTAAAAACCTAGGCATTTGGAAAATTCCCCAAATGTCTGGGTATTTGGGAAATTAAAGGGTTTTACTTCTCGAATCAGGTTAACAGATTTGGGGAATTTCCAGTCATTTGAGAAATTTCCAAAATCTTAAATATATACCACCCTAAATACCTAATTGGTATCTGTAAATTTCTGGGTATTTGGGAAATTTCACAAATGGGAAGTGTCCCAAATGCCTGGGTATCTGGGAAATTTCCCAAATGACTATTTTAATAAAAAACGTAAATGCTGTCGTGTCATGTTATCCACAAAGGATTAAGGTATCAGACACGATTGTTAAAAATGTAACTGTATGTGTTTAGTCGTCTTTACATTTCTTTGTGAGTATCCCTGGACCGACATGACTGTATGAGTTTATTGCCTTTGTCTTTAATTTGAGACTGTAAAGACCTTTTTAGTACAGTAAGACCCATAAAACTTTGGAATAGAAGGAAGACTTTTAGACTCAAGTTTTGAGATACAGTGTGTAAACAGCCCATTTTACTGTATGCGGGATTTAATACGTATAGTAAGTTAGTTACTATGTGATTTAATACGTATAGTAAGTTACAGGGTGTCCCAAAAAACATACGCATAGTAAGTTAGTTACTATGTGATTTAATACGACACGTATAGTAACTATGTGATTTATATAACATAAAACACACTTAATTATCCCTTCAAAGTCATTTTTCTATTCCACAGTTTTCTGTTTCTCCCTGAAAACAAGATCAGCCTGGCATGAAAGATATCGGAAAAAGTTATTTATTTTGAAAGGCAAACTCTATTTAAACGACGACATTTAAACTTCCCATTGCAAAATGAGCGGAAAATAATGAAGGTCTACTTGTTTATCCTTCTGTTTAAAAGTGGGACGAAGCTTCATGAATTCCTATAGAACAGATCCCCGTACTACAGTGATAACCAGAAAACAATGGAATAGCAAGACGATATTATAGAAACACTTCAATGTATTTGATGGTGTTACATAGCAAATAGTTATACCAGACACTTATACAATGGTTATTGAACTTTGTAATGTTAAAACTTGATTCTCAAAGTCGTCTTACTATTCCAGAGTTTTCTGGTTATCACTGTATGACTAACTATGACTATGACTAACTATGAATAACTAACTATTAAAAAGTGTATAATGCACATGGTAAACTTGTTTTTTTTTCTAGCATTGACATTCCAAGTTGTTTCTGGGTGTTGATAAGATCATAGGTTGTTTTAAAAATATGTTACAAGGAAAACGCCGTAAAAAAATTATTATTTTTTAGGGTTGCCCACAAAGGATGAGATTTCAGAGACGACTGCAAGGAATTTAAACTTTTTGTTTCCTGCAACCGTCAACTTTTTTTTTTTTTTTTAGATTGTGAAATAAACCATTAAAAGACTATATTTAAAGCAGGATCGAAACTAATCTTAAATTTTAAATCGTCGTACTTTAGGAGTTTCAGGTCGCCTTTACAGTATCATCCTTTGCAGGCAACCCTGTACAATAAAATTTCAGTATACAAGAATGTTTCAATATTTATTCTGACTAATACTTAAAATCAAGAAGTACCATAAACCATTCACATAGTCCATCACATCTATTTGCAGTCTAGTAAAATAATATCTCATTCGACATCAAATCAGAGAATAAACCATATTTGTTTGTGTTAAAAAGGTACAATATAATTAATTATGTCCCTCAATAAATGAATTTTTAATCATCGATTTTTGCATTTTTTATCATCAATATTGCCATGAATGACCTAGTAACTTCAAACAAGTATTAATGCACTATGCTTAAATGCATTTAGTGCATTTTAAACATTAAAAATATATATTACATTATACAATATATATATTTATACGAACTTTCCTAAAACAAAATTTAATTGTAACTATACATAGAAATTTCAAAAGTTTGACCTATGTATAATAATATTGTATAGATATTACAATTGAATTGACACCACAGAGCTGAAAGGGGGATACAGCTATCAAGTACAACTATTATTTCTATCTGATGTTTGTGTGAAGAGTCATGGAAAGTAATCGAACGTAAAAATTGTAAGGCTGTAACACAATTTGTAGAAAAAATATTTGTTTTTAAACACTGTCTTTTGTTGATCATTTATTTTTGTATCTTATGTAATATGTATTTACAATACATATAGTTCTGAAATTGTTATTTGAATATAAAGCAAAATCAGTCAAAAAAGAATTCATTTTTAATGAACCCCCCTTCTTATATAAATTAAATTGTTTCTGTGAGAAAAGTACGCGTGTTATAAAGTACTTCAACAATCAAGTTTGTGTCTCTAGAGAGAGACAAGAATATTTTGTCTCAAACATAACATTTTTAAATAGTTTTATATAAATCTGGTAATCTAAACATTTCTAAACATTTCTAAACATTTCTAAACATTTCTAAACATTTCTAAACATTTCTAAACATTTCTGAACATTTCTAAACATTTCTAAACATTTCCTAACATTTCTAAACATTTCTAAACATTTCTAAACATTTCTAAACATTTCTTAACATTTTTAGACATTTTTATATATTTCAAGATAATTACAGACACTGTACAATAAGTATCATACTCTAATAATTAATACATGCTTGAAAGACCACAATTTATGTTCTCAAATTTGGGGTGATAAAATACAAAATATTAAACAAAACTATTCTGTTAATTCCTAAAATAGAAAACTGAATCAAATATAAAACGTAAATTCCTTACAAAGAAGTTTTCGGGAAAAAGTCGAATGAATCCAAAAATCATGACTTAAAATAACATTTTCTCTTGGGACTGGGGTGTGTGAGTTTGTGTTAGAATTTTTTGAGTGTGTGTTAGCAGCATGTGCAATGTGCATGTGTGTTAGCAGCATGTGAATGGGGTGTTGGGGGTGTTAGCAGCTGTAAGTGTGTAATAGCAGTGTGTGAGTGTGTGCTAGCAGTATGTGAGTGTGTGTTAGCAGTGTGTGTGTGTTTGCTAGCAGTATGTGAGTGACAGTCTAATTTCTCCCTAGTTCTCCATCCATCAAGGTATTAGGTAACTATGGGTAACCATGTAACCATCGTATCTATTTGTGCCAGGATTTGACTGAACACTTTGTAAAGTAGTTCATTCAGTCATGGGGAGACATTTCTACACACCCGCCCTACCATCCCATCGTTCTCATCCTTCTTTACATTCTCATCCTTCTTTTCTTTCTCACCCTCCTCATCATTATCATCCTTCTTTTCATTCTCATCATTATCATCATTTTTTTTCATTCTCATCCTCCTCATCATTCTCATCCTCCTCATCATTATCATCCTTCTTTTCATTCTCATCATTCTCATCCTTCTTTTCTTTCTCATCATTTTCATCCTCCTCATCGTTATCATCCTTCTTTTCATTCTAATCCTCCTCATCATACTTATCCTCCTCAACATATCATCCTTCTTTTCATTCTCATCCTCCTCATCATTCTCATCCTCCTCATCATTCTCATCCTTCATTTCATTCTCATCCTCCTCATTATTCTCCTTCTATTCCATCTCCTCCTTCTCCACATTTCTCTATTTGCTCCTTCTTCTCCTTCTTCTCCTTCTCCTCCTTCTTCTCCCTCTCCTCCTTCTTCTCCTTCTAATAAAAAAGACAAAGGAGAATTAAGAATAAAAGATTTGCGTTTGATTATTTCGATGAAATAGTTACTTTATCTGTATTTTTCCTATTTTTTCTAGTTTTAATTGCAGCTTAGTTTTGATTGCAATTGACTAAAATGCAAATGAATTGTATTTTTTTTTAAATGCGGGAAAATGTTTAAGTTCCTAGTAAATCTGGTCCCAGGTTTATCAGTGTTAATCCAATGATTTATTTGTTCTTTAACATTATTCATAAGATACGTTTAAAGTTTGTAAAAGTATCTTTACATTTAAATAGCATCTAAAGTCTGCATATATACAAAACAGTTTAATTAATTTTAACAATCTTCTTACACAGTACAATCTAACTAATTAAGGGAGAAATGAACACAGTTAAATTAAATCTGAGTGTTAAGTCAAGTATGTTATTTGAAGGAAGGACAATTACTGTGAGGAACAAAAATTGTTTCCCTACCCCTATGTCTGTTAAAACACAGGATTTATTTGGAGCATGTGATTTCTATGTTTATGTTTACCTAAACTTAAGTGTTTAAGGTTCTTTAATGGAATGTACTTTAATTGACTCAATAAAAAAATTTAGAAATTTATCCTGCTGAGCAAAAATGTTTTTTTTTCCCAGTAAGTTTTCGTTTTTAATATGTAACATGCAGATTGTAGATATACTAAAGGGCGCTTTAAAAAGAACCCAATACTTCCCAATTTTTTCTTTCAGATGCTTAACTATTCCCTGATCATCATGAAATTAATATCAAAATTACAGATGGTTCTTAAGTTCATTATCATTTTCTATCAATAAGGAAACAAAGACAACAAAATGTTGTTTGGACCTTTCGTTCATTAAAGAAGGGAACCACAGAGACGCCTATTGCAGAAAAATGGAACTTGAAAATCCGCTGAAACTGTGAATTACTAAGGACTTTCCGGGAAAATATTCTGAAGAAATTCTCTAGTATTTCTCGAAAGTAACTCTCTTATTCAGTTCCCCAAAAATCCTTAAAATTGGTGACCAATATTCCGAAGAAATTCTCAGGAATTTCTCGAAACTATGTTTCATATTCAGTTCTCTAAAAATCCGTAAAATTGGTGACAAAATTCTAAGAATTTCTCAGAAGCTTCCAAATATTCCAAAGAGATTCTGAATAATTTCTTGGGAAAAATTACGGAGAAATTCTCAGGAACTTTTAGAAGCTAAGTCTCCTAATCAGTTCCCCCCAAAATCCCTAAAAATTCTAAACAAATTCTCTGGATTTTCTGGAAACTGAGTCTAAACTCACAAAACCTAAAAAATCTCTCAAATTGGTAACCAGTTAGGAGAATTTCTGGAAAAGTTTTGAGGAATCAGTCACAAGAACTTGTTTTCGAGAAATTCCCCGGAAATTCTCCAAAGGGAGTCATCAAGGTTGTGGAATTTAGGAAATTCCTCACTTTTGTTACTTGGGTCTCCTCCCTCTTCTTCTTCTCCTCCTTCTCCTCCTTCTCCTTCTTCTCCTCTTTCTCCTGCTTCTCCTTTTTCTCTTCCTTCATCTCTACCTTCTCCTCCTTCCTCTCTTTCTTCTCCTCCTTTTCCTCCTTCCTATCTACCGTCTCCTCTGTCTTTTCCTTTCTTTCTACCTTCTCCTCCTCCTACTCTGTTTTCTCCGTTTCCTTCTTCTCATCCGTTTCCTCCTTCTCCTCTTTATCACTAATTTCCCCAAGGATTATCAGTGTAAACATGGGCACGAGCTTCTCTTCAAGAATTAAAGTTTTAAGATTTGTATACATACATACAATCGAAACACTTAGCTGTAATGAATAGAGTTTCAGTCCCTCATGTACGGAAAATACTAACATATAGCTCCCAGAATATCTATCTATATATAATAAAACAAGACATTTGTATATATTATATATATATGTTGAGTTATTTAAAAGTAAAGATGAGTAAAGTGGTTGCAACAATTAGGATTAAACCGTGAACATATTTATACATTAGTCTTTGTCTCACAGCTATCCTATATATACAGGGTGTCCCAATAAACATGGGAATTCAGTGACGAATTCGATATCGTCTTTTTAAATAATTCTTTGATTTAGAAAGCTGTAATCTGTAAGATTTTCGTTTGCTATGTTTACAATTTGTTTGTTTATGTTTCGAGTTTCATACGGTTTTACTTATTAAACAATGAAATTACAGTATACAAACAGAGTAAACTTGTCCGTCTTCACTGTTCATCTTGTGGAGACATTACAGACACATCTTTACAGCCATTTACCGTTTTCACAAAATAAACTCTAGCAAACATAATAATATTATGGCTTTTGAAATTAGATATTACAATGCTAATTCATAACAAAGACGATATCGAATTCGTCACTGAATTCCCATATTTATTGGGACACTCTGTATGTATATACATATTTATATAAATATATATAAACCATGAACAAAGCAATGATAAACAAATCGTTTTAAATCTTTACAATTTTAAGTATTTGGCTTTATTGAAAAAACTATATAATATAACAGAGGCATTAACCCAATACGATGTAGGGGTATTTAATGATTTTAAATATAAACTTAGGTAGATCAACTGTTTTTTTGCTAAATTAAAACATTTAAATATTCTTTTCAGTGATTTAGTGTTAGAAAAAATGGCATATTTTTTGGTTACTATTTTTGAAAAACTGAACATTCATTTAAATCCCCCCTGGTTTAAGAATTAATGGTTTATTTTACGTAAGCTTAAAAAGTTACACTTCTCAGATTAAATTATTTAAGTTTATTTTTTAATTTCAAAAATATATTTTTCATTGCGTTAAAGCAATACAAAGAACATGAGAGTATAATAAATCCAGTTGATGTCATACATTACAATACATTTTTGTAATTGATTGCAATGATCCTGCTTAACTGGCACAATTATTGCATTCAAGGAGTTCACATCTTTGTATTTAGTGATCTATAATATAGTCATCAGTTAATATCAGTTCTGTCAGGACAAAGGGATAGAAATATAGATGGTACTACGATAGAAGATAGAAGAAAAGAAGATAGAAGATAGAAGGATAGAAGGATAGAAGGATAGAGGGATAGAAGGATAGAAGGATAGATGGTACTCCGATAAAAGATAGAAGAATAGAAGGATAGAAGGATAGACGGTACTAAGATAGAAGATAGAAGAAAAGAAGATAGAAGGATAGAAGGATAGAAGGATAGATGGTACTAAGATAGAAGATAGAAGAAAAGAAGATAAAAGGATAGAAGGATAAAAGGATAGATGGTACTACGATAGAACATAGAAGAAAAGAAGATAGAAGATAGAAGGATAGAAGGATAGAGGGATAGAAGGATAGAAGGATAGATGGTACTCCGATAGAAGATAAAAGAAAAGAAGATAGAAGAATAGAGGGATAGAAGGATAGAAGGATAGAGGGATAGAAGAATAGAAGGATAGATGGTACTACGATAGAAGATAGAAGGATAGAAGGATAGAAGGATAGAAGGATAGATGGTACTAAGATAGAAGATAGAAGAAAAGAAGATAGAAGGATAGAAGGATAGAAGGATAGAAGGATAGAAGGATAGAAGGATAGAAGGATAGATGGTACTACGATAGAATATATAAGACAAGAAGATAGAAGGATAGATGGTACTTCGATAGAATATAGAAGAAAAGAAGATAGAAGGATAGAGGGATAGATGGTACTACGATAGAAGATAGAAGAAAAGAAGATAGAAGGATAGAAGGATAGAAGAATAGAAGTATAGATGGTACTACGATAGAAGATAGAAGAAAAGAAGATAGAAGGATAGAAGGATAGAAGGATAGAAGGATAGAAGAAAAGAAGATAGAAGGATAGATGGATAGATGGTACTACGATAGAAGATAGAAGAAAAGAAGATAGAAGGATAGAAGGATAGATGGTACTACGATAGAAGATAGAAGTAAAGAAGATAGAAGGATAGATGGTAGTACGATAGAAGATAGAAGAAAAGAAGATAGAAGGATAGAAGTATAGATGGTACTACGATAGAAGATAGAAGAAAAGAAGATAGAAGGATAGAAGGATAGATGGTACTACGATAGAAGATAGAAGAAAAGAAGATAGAAGGATAGAAGTAAAGATGGTACTACGATAGAAGATAGAAGAAAAGAAGATAGAAGGATAGAAGGATAGATGGTAGTACGATAGAAGATAGAAGAAAAAAATATAGAAGGATAGAAGGATAGATGGTACTACGATAGAAGATAGAAGAAAAGTAGATAGAAGGATAGAAGGATAGATGGTACCATGATAGAAGATAGAAGAAAAGAAGATAGAAGGATAGAAGGATAGATATTCATAGTGATGTATAAACTTACTAAATACTAGTCTGATATTTCTAGTGATAAACTGAGTGAATAATAGTCTGATCTTCCATGTGATAAACTTACTAAATACTAGTCTGATATTTCTATTGATAAACTTACTAAGTACTAGTCTGGATGGAGGGTTGATTAATGGAGGTCTAGTAGTTGTTTCTCGAGCTGGAGCTCTGGTGGTTGGAGGAGGAAGAGCAGGTCGTCTACAAATACAAAAGATAAATTTCAGGTTTTAAACTTTTAATTTAATTAAATTTTTAATTTTTTTATTTGACCATTTGTGATTGTGGTTTCACTATACAGGGGACTTTTGGATTTATGCAGAAGATTTAAAAAGGAAATTATAACAATTTAACATTTCGTTGCTGCTTATATAAAAGTACCGTTTATAATTGTGCATGCAAGAGAGTCCCTTAGAGTTACATGTACAATCCCTTTACTCACCTTGTTGTAGTAGTTCTTGTTATAGTATCCTGTGACCCCCCGGCTACCCCGGTCAACCCGCCAGTTTGACCCAACCCGCCCTCTAGCGGTCCGAACGGTGTGCTGTCATCGTCGTTGCAGAAGTCGGTGTTGCACAGACAGGCGTAGATGGATCCTGAGCTGTCATCTGTTATATCCCGCTGTTGGCAGGTGTTGAAAGGCACAAGAGGATCTGTTATAGAACCAAGAAGGACACGCGTTGGGAAGCATTCACGTAGTGTTGCTGAAAAAACTTTAAATTAAAACAAAAATCTCAATATAAAGTGCTAAAAAATTCAAGAAAACCGAATCACATAAAATCAAAAATAAATGTTTTAAATTATGGCTAAATAACTTTTTTAACATTTTAAAGTTTATCTTGATCAAAATTAAAGGTTTGGATTTTATCATAATTATATTTGATGTCTGGAAACAAATCGACAACATTAAACAACAATAGTATGTCTTTGTTGTTGACATTGACAGTAATACCGACGTCTGTTTACAGGGTGTCTCAGAAAAAATAACTCCTCGAAAAGATAATTATTTAAAAAATCATAAAAAATAATAAAATATAGGTTTTTACAAGAAAAATTAACCAAAGATAACTTATTTAGGAAAGTAAATTTATTTAGCACCCCCCTGTATTATGTTGGTGAGAATAAACATATATCTGATGATTTATATATACATATATATATCCAGGGTTGCTCGGCTCAAACTAATAATAATAATAATAATAACCTTGATTTAGCCCATTCCCAAACTCCCTCCTCTTCTATATCATTTCCTGCAATCCAGAACTCCATTCTAGATCTCCTGGAAAATAAGAATTAAAAAAAAATCAAAAACTCCTGATTTTTCTCTAATACCACGTATGCGACATTACGGGTACAACTTTGTGACCTCGTAGCTACTTATTGATTGTACGCAGATTTATGAGAAATTCAAATGTATTCGGTTACTTATTAGAAATTTAAAATTATAAATTTATATTTACCTAGAATTTGATTGTATCGAGATCATCTGAACCAACTCATCTGCTTTATCCTCAGACTCAAGACTGAAATAGAAAATCGGCATCATTCTGTTTTCTAAAAACTTTTGTATTCTTTTTTTCTTAACAGTCATATTTTTAGACGGTGAAAAAAATGTTATACTATGCATGTATTGTATTCATGACAACATCATTGTTTATCTATAGAGATTTTACATTTTTCAATAAACGTTCAGCGAAAATTTACCTTCACCATTAGAATTCAATTCAATTAATTCAATTCTTCGTTTTATTTGCAAAGGTTAAAGAATTCGTTTAATACTTACGCATCAGATAAAAGTAAATTTTGAAGTGAAACTGAAAATTAAATTTTTCATATTTTGCGAACACTCCCTTTAAGCTGGAAATATTTTTAGAGGAACAATATTAAACAAAATAATTACTTATAAATACCTGACAAGTCTTGCTTTATTTTGTTCACACATTTTCCTTGCTTCAATCCATCCAACCCGATCATTAGAGATTATATAGCAACCAGACCCAACCCGCGTAAACCCAGGTGGACATTCAGCTGAAACAAAATGGCGTCTTAAAAAAATTGCACCAAAAAAACAAAATGGCAATTTTATTCCTTTTTTATGTAAAGATGACTAGGACGATTTTAAAGTTTAAAACAGACGTTTATGGGTAGGGATGTTATGGGAAGGGTTAAGTAAAAGGAGTAACAATTCGGCCCTTATCCCAGCAAGCTATGACTTTCGATCACAATTTGATAAGTCTATAGTTTAGCACCATTTATTTAAACATCATAAACATATATTTGTATATTTAATACAATTCAATAAACCATAATTAAAAATACTTCATCAGAAAATACGTTAAAATAGGTATCATGTCAAAAATAAATGCCTTTGGCCCCGTAAATGGTTATAATGGTTATATGTTTACATATCTTTATAAAAAAACTGATAATGCCTGAAATTTTAAATATTGACGCCTAAGGGGAGCGTTCACGAAATTATGTAGTTGCGGAATTACTAAAATATATGACCGGGCATAAATTACAAATTCTCTGCGCTTTGTGTCACTATGAGACCATTTCAGGGGGAAATGACAACACTGACAACTATTTGTTATGGTAAAACAACCATAAACGTCTGAAGGAGGGAAGGGGAGGGGGCGTCATAATTGCACTTATCTTCAAATATGGATTTACACCAAACTTTTCACTTTTCTTCAGCGTTCTTTTTTATGTGGCACTTTAAATTGGCTTTTTTTCACAACATCATGTCGTCCTTTTTTCAAGACTCGTCCTACAGCTCACAAATATATCTGAGACTATTACAGCAAGCGGACGAGTGCCATCCATCTACTCGTCCTCTACTGGACTGGGTGAGTGTCCAGGCTAAACAGTTTTCTTCAGGAGAATCAAAGGGTTCCTCACTCCAGCCATAGTTAGGGACAGGTAGCCTTAGATATCTCCATCAAAATTCGATCTTCATTAAATTTTTGAAAATTTTGAAAATCCACGAAATTTTTTGTGAAAATCCGCAAATTATTTTTTTTTGTTTTCGATGTACACAAAGAGAACATGTTCACAATTAATTTAGAAGATGGGCGCGAATCGCTCTCTAAGGCTAGTTTCTAAATATTTCTAAACATTTCTAAACATTTCTAAACATTTCTTAACATTTCTAAACATTTCTAAACATTTCTAAACATTTCTAAACATTTCTAAACATTTCTAAACATTTCTAAACATTACTTAACATTTCTAAACATTTCTAAATATTTCTAAACATTTCTAAACATTTCTTAACATTTTTAGACATTTTAATATATTTCAAGATAATTACAGACACTGTACAATAAGTATCATACTCTAATAATTAATACGTGCTTGAAAGACCACAATTTATGTTCTCAAATTTGGGGTAATAAAATACAAAATATTAAACAAAACTATTCAGTTAATTCCTAAAATAGAAAACTGAATCAAATATAAAACGTAATTTTCAATTGTAAATTCCTTACAAAGATGTTTTCGGGAAAAAGTAGAATGAATCCAAAAATCACGACTTAAAATCACATTTTCTCTTGGGACTGTGGTGTGTGAGTTTGTGTTAGAATTTTTTGAGTGTGTGTTAGCAGCATGTGCAATGTGCATGTGTGTTAGCAGCATGTGAATGGGGTGTTAGGGGTGTTAGCAGCTGTAAGTGTTTTAGCAGTGTGTGAATGTGTGTTAGTTGCTGTAATTGTGTAATATCAATGTGTGAGTGTGTGCTAGCAGTATGTGAGTGACAGTCTAATTTCTCCCTAGTTCTCCATCCATCAAGGTATTAGGTAACTATGGGTAACCATGTAACCATCGTATCTATTTGTGCCAGGATTTGACTGAGCACTTTGTAAAGTAGATCATTCAGTCATGGGGAGACATTTCTACACACCCGCCCTACCATCCCATCGTTCTCATCCTTCTTTACATTCTCATCCTTCTTTTCTTTCTCACCCTCCTCATCTTCATTCTCATCCTCCTCATCATTATCATCCTTCTTTTCATTCTCATCATTCTCATCCTTCTTTTCTTTCTCATCATTTTCATCCTCCTCATCGTTATCATCCTTCTTTTCATTCTAATCCTCCTCATCATACTTATCCTCCTCAACATATCATCCTTCTTTTCATTCTCATCCTCCTCATCATTCTCATCCTCCTCATCATTCTCATCCTTCTTTTCATTCTCATTCTCCTCATTATTCTCCTTCTATTCTATCTCCTCCTTCTCCACAATTCTCCATTTTCTCCTTCTCCTCCTTCTTCTCCTTCTCCTCCTTCTCCTCCCTCTCCTCCTTCTTCTCCTTCTAATAAAAAAGACAAAGGAGAATTAAGAATAAAAGATTTGCGTTTGATTATTTCGATGAAATAGTTACTTTATCCGTATTTTTCCTATTTTTTATAGTTTTAATTGCAGCTTAGTTTTGATTGCAACTGACTAAAATGCAACTGAATTGTATTTTTTTTTAAATGCGGGAAAATGTTTAAGTTCCTAGTAAATCTGGTCCCAGGTTTATCAGTGTTAATCCAATGATTTATTTGTTCTTTAACATTATTCATAAGATACGGTTTAAAGTTTGTAAAAGTATCTTTACATTTAAATAGCATCTAAAGTCTGCATATATACAAAACAGTTTAATTAATTTTAACAATCTTCTTACACAGTACAATCTAACTAATTAAGGGAGAAATGAACACAATTAAATTAAATCTGAGTGTTAAGTCAAGTATTTTATTTGAAGGAAGGACAATTACTGTGAGGAACAAAAATTGTTTCCCTACCCCTATGTCTGTTAAAACACAGGATTTTTTGGAGCATGTGATTTCTATGTTTATGTTTACCTAAACTTAAGTGTTTTAGGTTCTTTAATGGAATGTACTTTAATTGACTCAATAAAAAAATTTAGAAATTTATCCTGTTGAGCAAAAATGTTTTTTTTTTCCCAGTAAGTTTTCGTTTTTAATATGTAACATGCAGATTGTAGATATACTAAAGGGCGCTTTAAAAAGAACCCAATACTTCACAATTTTTTCTTTCAGATGCTTAACTATTCCCTGATCATCATGAAATTAATATCAAAATTACAGATGGTTCTTAAGTTCATTATCATTTTCTATCAATAAGGAAACAAAGACAACAAAATGTTGTTAGGACCTTTCGATAATTAAAGAAGGGAACCACAGAGACGCCTATTGGAGAAAAACGGAACTTGAAAATCCGCTGAATCGGTGAATTATTAAGGACTTTCCGGAAAAATATTCTGAAGAAATTCTCAAGTATTTCTCGAAAGTAACTTCTTATTCAGTTCCCCAAAAATCCTTAAAATTGCTGACCAATATTCCGAAGAAATTCTCAGGAATTTCTCGAAAAGGTAAGGGAATTTAGGAAATTCTTCACTTTTGTTACCTGGGTCTCATCCCTCTTCTTCTTCTACTCCTTCTCCTCCTTCTCCTCCTCTTTCTCCTGCTTCTCCTTTTTCTCTTCCTTCATCTCTACCTTCTCCTCCTTTTCCTCCTTCCTATCTACCGTCTCCTCTGTCTTTTCCTTCCTTTCTACCTTCTCCTCCTCCTACTCCGTTTTCTCCGTTTCCTCCTTCTCATCCGTTTCCTCCTTCTCATCCGTTTCCTCCTTCTCCTCTTTATTACTAATTTCTCCAAGCATTAACAGTGTAAACATGGGCACGAGCTTTTCTTCAAAAATTTAATTTTTTACATTTGTATGTATACATACATACAATCTAAACACTTAGCTGTAATGAATAGAGTTTCAATCCCTCATGTGAGTTACGGAAAATACAATATTTGGGCTCAGACACTCAGGGGTGGCCGGGGAGAGGGGGGAGGGGTGTTATAGGCTAAAAAAAAATTCTAAATTAGAAAATATAATTTTTTTTCATCGGGCAACGCCGGGCCCTTCAGCTAGTTTACAATAAAACAGCGTTTTTTTGAGGGAAAAAATGACGATAATCTGAAAAGATGTGAATCGGATCATACTGACATCTTTGAGCGATACGATTAGACGTATTTATAGCTCTTAAACTTATGGTATCTTTTTTATACAATACTTATAAATCAATTGTGCGTGATGACTAGTCTACGTTGTTCATCTTTATGGTTTCATTTGAGGATTTATAGCTCATGAATGGGTCTTAAATATTAACTGTAACATCGAGCAGAAAATCAGAGATGGGTTCATGAACATTTATTAACAAGCAAAGGTCGTGTGTCTCATTTTCGAAAGATAGGCGACACGATTCAAGGTAGTTAGATGGGGGNAAAGGGGGTATAGGCTTACGTCGAAAAATTATCGATGGTGATCACTTCTAATCTTACTTCTATCTGTTGCGTCTATAAGGAGAAAATTGTTAAAAACTACCAAAGATTAGTAGCAATCACCATCAATAATTTTCGCCGTTGGCCTATACCCCCTTTCATTTTTCGCGAACTCTCCCTTTAATGTAATCGTGTGTGTTTATGAATATTTATCTATATAAAAAAACACGTGCAGTGCTGTAAAAAAAGTATTAGAAATCGAACACATGGGACCCTTAATTTCTTATAATTGATATATGACAGAAAGTGTTCCAAAAAAGTGTCTTGACATCCTTCTTTGTATCTTCAAAGTTGACAATACACTTTTGAACAAATTTGTTTAATAAATTGAAGTCTGTACAACTAATTGTACAAATTTCTCAAAAAAAATCCTTTAATTTTAAAGATGCAAAAAAGCTAGACCCCATTTTGGAAATCCCGAGACTAGTAAGGTTTGGTCTTGAATGTTCGGTGCAAAATTGAATAAAATGATTTGAAAGATGCAAGATAAGAGATGAAGTGTTATGGTTAAAGATTTTGTTCATCATAACTGTCAACTTTACTTTTATAATACCCCGCCTTTTAACCCAGACTTAGAGTAGGGACAGGGACATAAAGTAGGGACAGGGACATAAAGTTGGGACAGGGAAAAAAAATAGGGACAGGGACATAAAGTTGGGACAGGGACATAAAGTAGTGACAGGGACATAAAGTAGGGACAG